TCCCTGGTGTTACGCAACGCTCTATGCAACCGCCGAAACATCGTTACCCGTGTTTCTACATTCGACTCTCAAATCTGAAGGGATGATCGAACCGATTCTCTCTTCGTTCTTTTCTCTGTTTCATCACCACGAAATTGGTGGACGATAAGAAACGGAGAGGGGGACGATCCGTTATCAGCTCGTTATCGGTGCTGCGTCAACTTATGAATGGGCGGGATCGTACGTATATACGATTTCGGCTCGTTTCGTGGCCGAGCTTTTCGAGAGCGAAGAATTAATTAGCCAGGCGTTTAATAAAAGAGGCATCGACCCTTTGTTATCTCGTTTCCTTCCCATCTCGCCTGGTTTTCAACAGGATTATCTCGGGAAGAAAATCAAATATGTTGGGCCTTGGTTGCTTTTTTCGTCGCTGATTTTTTTCTTTCTTCCGGATTTAATCCATCCGTCTCCTCTTCGATTTATCCTCGATTAATCGTCGCGTGGATATCCGTTTTTAAGAGAAATTCAGGACATTTGAGGAAAATTTTTCATTCGAGGAAGGTTAAATACGTGAAATACGATAATGAAATTATTCCGGAATAAAAAGTAAAATCGATCGATATATAGGTATATATATATATATACGTATATAGTCGGTCGCGTATGGAAATACATAAACCCGCGTTTATCGTAATTTGTTTCGCAACGGAGATCGGCCAATTTTCCCCAATTAATCGTCTTCATTCATTGAAATTCTCGAATGGGACGATTTATTGGCCGGGAGAATAAAGTGTGTAAATTAAGTTCCACGCGGAATTGATTCGATAATAAACTATATTTCGCGATTTTAATTTCGTGAAATCAAAAAACAGAAAAATACGCGTCATTGCGTTACGATTTTCGAGTTCTATTTGATATATATATATCATATATATAGATAAGAAACGATGTTATTCGAGATTAATTTCACAGATTGGTTTCCAAATAAATGCGCCGAGGCTCCGTTCTTTTTTATCTTCCTCCTCAATGAAGTTTCAAACACTTATCTTTATCCTCATTCTTTAGATTATGAATGAACCAAAAAAAAAAAACGCTTCTCCTCTATTCTCTCAAATCGACCAAGTCAATTAACAACTCGACATTTCTTATTTCTTCTATGTTCATAGAGATGAACGGACTCCACCCCCCATTTAACGGTATAAATTTAATCAATCAGCGGCTCGCCAACAATTTTTACTATCCTACTTGGCATCATCTTCTCCTGCAAGCAGGCCGAAATGATCAATTTTTCAATTCGAAGAGAGGGGGAGAAGAGAGAGAAAAGAAATATCAACGCAAAGAATCGTCAATTTTCGCCTCCCCCTGTAAAGGCACAAGGCGAGGTATAAATTCGAATTTTTGGATGGATGGAGGTCCTCGATTTTGCCGCAAAAAGAAAAAAAAGACACGTTCCAAGCTCGCCACGGTGGTGCAACGTAATTACACGTGTCACGTAAATATACATAAACGAAGGATACGGCAAACTGTACGTACGATGCCTTCCCTTCGATATCTTGCGTACACGTGTGGCAAGAACTGCCATTTTATCGAACCACGTGTTCCAGCTGTTTTTAAACGAAACTCCGCGAGGGGAAAAATGCGTTTCGTCGCTTTGACCTTTTTTCTTTCTTTTTTTTCGTCGAGATTCCGAAAATTCGAAAAAATTTTCTCGCGAAACTATGATAACTCGCATAATTTCTCTCTCTCTTTCTCTCCTTCCGTTTTTATTTTTATTATATTCGAACCAGAAATTTCTACAACAACGCATTTATTGCTGTCTCGAGATCCACCTACGCGCAACGATGCACGAGCAACTCCGTGGTTGCAGTTTTAAAGAGCTGTCCCGCTGGTAGATAAAATGCCGGTCATGATTTATGCCGGCAACTTTATGAAGAACGTTGACCAATATGTCTGCCGCGGATGTGCACGCCGTTGGGATGAGATCGTGGGAATGATCGATTCCTTTCCTCCTTGTTTATCGTGGGTGGTGGAAATTCGCTTTCAAAAATCGCTTTCACCGTTTCTCTATCGATTCGAACATTTCGAGATTCGTCAAACGAAATGGAGTCGTATCTTCTTGACACGCATGAGCGCATCACGAACATGCGACTTTACTCCTTTCTCTCTTTCTTTCTCCTGTTTATCAACGACTCGTCCAGATGTTCGACACGTACGTTACGCAATTTCTGCATCGCCCCAGCAAAGAATGCCTTGTCATTATCGAATGCCATCGTTAGCCACGCTCGTTAATTATTTCTTAATTTCGGCGTTACTTGGATGGAAGGTATTCAATTTAAAGTTTGTAACGACTTTGAAATTTAATCGCCTCGATGTTTTATTCGCCGGATTATCATCGTCTTCTTGCGAGAAAGCGCACAAATTTCGCGATTTTCCAACTTCGTCTCTTCTTTCCACTTTGAGCAATCGAGCGCGATCACCTTTCTCTCCGACTCGGATTCTCTTCCACTCGAAAAAGAGGCTCTCTATGATTCGTGATTAATTACAAAAAGTCGCGTGTGTGCCCCGCTCTCGATTTACTCGGAGGGGACGCGTGATTGCCAACGTTGCAATTTCCCCTCCGTATCCAAAAAAAAAAAGAAAAAAAAGAGAGAGATCGATACTCGTGTCCTTTCTCGGTCTTATTTTATTGCAATTCCTCGGTGTATCCCTCGCGGTTATTCGCGACAACACACGGTGGCTATAAATAGATTCGAACGGCTCGTTTAAGGGTTAAGTGGTCAATTAGTCACACGCCTTCGATGACGACTACCGCACGACAATCCGTTAAAAAGAACGTTCGAATAATCACCCCGGGGATTATTCGCCACGTATGTGTAATATGTGTGTGTGTGTGTGTGTGTATATATATATATTCTTCGTTCGATTGATTGCAGGCGTTCCACTGGCGGAGCTATGAGGGGCGGGAAATTCTTCATCTTCAACAAGAAACTGCTCTGAGCGTCGTTCTTTCGTCGTTCTAGAAAAAGCTGCGAAGAAGAGGAAGAGGAGACAAAAAGGAAAAAAAAAGAAGAAGAACCTCCCCCCTCCCTCCCCCAAGAAAAAGAAAACTCAAATCTCAAAAATAATCCCCCAAAAATTATCCCCTCAGCAGGATAATTCGTTTAATCTAAAATTCAAAAGGATCTTCCCGTAAGGGAAGATCGATCGAAGCGAACGAGATTCATCAAACCGACTTGGAGAGAGAGAGAGAGGAAGGGTGACGAAGGGTGAATTTCGAATTTCGCAGAGATCTATAATATTCCCCTTTCCTTTCCTTTCCTTTTTTCTTTTCTTTCCGGCGAAATAATTCGGATACGTATTCATGTCCTGCGGCGGCTGAGAGATCTTTTGGTTTGAATCGAATACCGGCAGAGAATCGTGTTCGAGTCGAGTCGAATGATCGATCCTGCGCGGTTCGAGGCAGGGTGAGGTGGATTGGAGAGGGTTGTGGATCGCGCGACGTGACGCGATCTCGATCGCGGAGGTGGAGGGGGAGGCGAAGGGAAAGGCGACAGGAGGAGGAGGGGGGAGGAGGAGGAGGAGGAGGAGGAGGAGGAGGGTAGTTTTGGGAAGAAGGTTTGACGAGAATCGTGGCGAGAGGATGGTGGAGGCGAGGTGGTGGTGGTGGCGGTGGTGGCGGTCGCCGGTGATGTTGTTGGTGCTGCTCTGCTGCGCCGCCGTGTCGCTGGCCGCTCGCCAATTTGACGCGACTCGGAGATCCGGTCTCCACGATGATTACGACGACGAGATTAGGAGGAGGGGATACGAGGATTACGGCGTCGAGGAGGAGGCCCGCAAAAGGGATACCCAAGATCCGTTCTACGAGCGAATCGGCTCCTACAGACGCAACAGGGCGATAGATTCCAGGTACTCGAGGAGGAGGAGGAGGAGAAGCGTTGTAGAGCGTTTTTCGCCTCCGCCCTTTTCCCTTCACCCCACATTTGGCGGGTGAATACGAGCGAAAGCGTTCGAGTAGACAATTTTCCCTCCTAGGATTCCCTTCGTTTTTTACGGAAAGAGATGCACGAACGATCGGAGGGGCGGCCAAATTTTTTTTGAGAGCGAGCAAAGGACACTTTCAAATTTTCCCTCCTGGGATTCTTCGTTTTCACGTTTTATGGAGGGAAATGTACGAATGGGCGGCCAAATATTTTTTAAAAGCGAACGAAAGACGTCTAAATTTTCTCTTCTACAATTCTTTGTTTTTACGTTCACGGAAAAAGATGCACGAACAATGAAGCGAACGAAGGACGACCAAGTATAAATTTTCCCTCCTGAAATTTTTTGTTTTTAAATTCACGGAAAAAAGTACAGGACGGATGGGCGGCCAAATTTTTTTAAAAGCGAGGGATGTCCAAGTAGAAATTTTCCCTCCCAGGATTCTTCGTTTTCATGTTTATGGAGGGAAATGTACGAATGGGCGGCCAAATATTTTTTAAAAGCGAACGAAGGAGCCGTTGGATAATCGTTTTCGAACGAGCGAAAGTGTCCAAATAGAAATTTTCCTTCCTAGGATTCTTTGTTTTCACGTTTATGGAGGGAAATGTTCGAATAGGTTGCCAAATATTTTCTAAAAGCGAAGAAAGGGCCCATTGGACAATTCCAGGTAAAGGGACGAAAACGCGAAAATATAGAAATTTTCCCTCCTACCTTTTTTCGTTCTTTTCGCGTCACGAACGATCGGATCAAATTTAATAGTATATTATTCTACACTTTATAAGATTATACTTAAAGAGCTTAGGAATCTACTGATTCGGGGCGATATTTAAAAAAAAAATCAAACATAAATATTGTCGTTCGAATTGCTGCATCAATCCAAGTGGTGCCGGAGAGTCACCACTGGAGTTGGAGGGTTAACAAGCGAACGAAGGATCCTGGAGGGAAAAAATAAAATCCGTTCCTTCTGTTCTTCCTCCTCCTCCTCCTCCTCTAATTCGCGGAATGATCGCAGGTCGACGGAAGCGAATACGAAATTGGCGGAGGAAGCGGGGCAACAATCGAGGCTGGCCAAGTCGAAGCCGAGCGACGTGGGCCGCGACAAGGGGCGGAGATACAAGAATGTGACGATCGGGGACGGGATCTGTCAGAGTATCGACATACGGAACAGCGCGTCCGCATTCGGTATCATGAAGGACTGCCGGGTGATCGAGGGCTTCCTCCAGATCGTCCTTATCGAGAACAACTCGGAGAGGGACTTTCAACCGATCAGCTTCCCGCTGCTCAGAGAGATCACCGGTTACCTACTTCTGTATCGCGTGAACGGATTGAAAACACTGAGCAACCTGTTCCCCAATCTCGAGGTGATCAGGGGCAACATTTTGCTCACCGATTACGCGTTCATGGTGTACGAGATGCAGAATCTTCAAGAGGTGAGATTTATTATTATTATTATTACTACTACTACTTTCATCGTCGTCATTGTTGATCTTTCGCCTCGATCGAGCCTCGATTACCGCGAGAAAGTATACAAACGGATACGGAATGAAAAGCTCCGCTCTGCGAAACAAATATTGTCCACGTGGGAAGAGAGATAGAGAGAGGAGAGAGAGAAAAAAGGACGACTCATCGGGCCTGGAAAAAACGAGCACCGATTCGCGTGTTATTTTTCAAAATAAATCAATATATGAACCGTTGGCAAATATTTTTCCATCGGAATATCTTTTTTTTCTTCCCCCCTCCTCCCCCCCTTTTTTCTGCGGTTCGTTTTTTGCCTTCCGATCAATTGATATTTCACCCTCGATTGAAAGGGTAAATAATTAAAAAAAAAAAAAAAAAAAGGAGAAGAAAAAAAATCACGATTGGCGGGTGGATCGTTGATGATATCGTTTTAAAATTGTATCCATCCGTCTCGCGTATCGACAGCCGAGGGGAGGGGAAGGCAATGTCTCTCCGGGTTATTATTATTATTATTATTATTATTATTATTATTATTATTATTATATTATTCGATCAGAGAAGAACATCGAACGAAACGTTTCCCACGAGGAAGAGAGGAGGAAATTCCGTTCAATTCGCTCTCTAGACGTCGTATTCGTCGGGTTTGACCCCGCGGGTCAAGTGACGTTAATTAGTCAATCGAATTAACCGGTCGTTCGACCTCCGCCGAGTTAACTTTATCGAGGCTAAATCGATCATTCCTCGATTCCTTTCTCTCTTTCTTTCTTTCTTTCTTTCTTTCTTTCTTTCTCCAGATCGGACTGAAGAAACTTACCGAGATCTCGAGGGGCAGCGTTCGGATCGAGAAGAATCCCGCTCTCTGCTACACAACCACCCTTAACTGGGACCTCATCGTCTCCGCGGGGGAGAACGTGATCAAGGACAACGGAGAGGAGGCCTCTTGCCCCGGTATATATATATATATATATCGTTTCTTTCCTCCCCTTCTTTTCCTTCTCTCGAATCGAAATGCATTTCTTCGAAATGCGGAAGGAGTCGACGATGAATAACGCTCGTCGATGATGAATTGTCACGATGTCGAATCGATGCTTTTCCTTTTCTCTCTCTCTCTTCTCCCTTCCTTTTTTTCGCAAAGGATGGAGCGCGTACTTAAACCGCGCCAAGTGCAGCAATTGAAGCCAGGGCCGGGCATTTAAGCGCGCTTAATAGTGTCTGTCGGCATCGTGGTGACGAGTGGTGCTCGTCGATTCTTTCGACGTTGCCCTCGCACGCGAGAGATACATTCCATGAACGAGATTACTTACTTACCGCCCATTAATCGAGTCTTCCCCTCGCGCAGGATGTTCCCACTGTCCTGCCGGTTATTGTTGGACTTCCCAGTATTGTCAGAGGATGGAAAAACCGAGATGTCACGAGCAGTGTCTGGGCGAGTGTCACGGCCCGACCGAGAGCAAGTGTTACGTTTGCAAGCATTACCGCCACGAAGGGAAATGCGTGGAAACCTGCCCCGCCCATCTGTGAGTAAATTTGACTCTCTATCCCCCCCTCCCCTTCTTCCTTCGAAAGAAAAGGAAAGGAAAGGAAAGGAAAGGAAAGGAGGAAGAGTTGTCTCTCATCTGGCCGGATTTCTTCACAGATATTCCTATCTCTCGAGGCGATGCGTCACGAAAGACGAATGCGTGAAGATGAATCGTCTGAGGAGGGTGTACTACGTTCTGGAGGATGGCCTGGCATGGAGACCGTTCAATGGATCGTGCGTGACTCATTGCCCCGATGGATACGAGGACGCCCTCGACGAAAACAACGTACGTCTCACGAAAAATTCCCTTCTCTGATATTTTCAAGCTTTGCTAATTCGAATCGATCGGAAACATTCCGTTCTTTCTTTTTCGATTCAACGCTCCGGCGTTAAAACGTTGAATCGCCAATATTATAGAACGGCAGGATCTACTACTGCTCCGTTCTACTCGAGGAGATCGAGGGTAATTGGCAATCGCCAAACATGGCGTAGTGTAGAAATACTAACCGGATATCGCGTTATCCTCCAACACGCTCGATTCGAAATATGAATATTCGTGTATGTATATAACACTCGATGTGTACGCGCACATTTTACGAGATACTTTTTTTCCCATCCGGTTGAAAAACTCGGTGAAATACCGGTTCTTGGACGGAAAAAAGGCGAATGTAACGACGACAAATTTTCCTATCTATCTTTTTTCGTCTCTCTCTCTCATCTCTGTTTTGCAGATGACCACGTGTCGCGCTTGCATGAACAGTTGCCGGAAGGTCGGGCACGGTGCCCTGATCCGTCACATCTCCGACGCGCAGAGTTTCCGCGGTATCACGGTGGTGAAGGGGGCGCTCGAGTTCCAGATACGGAACGGGAACCCGAACATAATGAACGAGCTGAGCGAGGCGTTCGGCCGGATCGAGGAGATAACCGAGTACGTGAAGATCACCCACTCGTTCCCGATCACCTCGCTGAGCTTCTTCAAGAGGTTGAGGGTGATCAAGGGGGAGCAGCTGGACATAAACAACGCGAGCCTGTCCGTGCTCGACAACCCGAATCTGTCGAGCCTGTTCCCGCCCGAGCAGGAGATCAGGATCGAGAACGGCCGCCTCTTCTTCCACTACAACCCGAAACTCTGCCTCTCGAAGATCGTGCAGTTCAGCAAGATGGTGAACATCTCCAACTTCACCGACCTCGAGATACAACCGCAGTCGAACGGGGAGAAGGTGGCGTGCAACATAGTGAACATAAACATAACCGTGAACAATCTCGGCCCCGATTACGCGGATCTGACGTGGGACAGTTACAAGGCGCCCGAGGGGCAACAGTTGCTCAGCTATCTGTTGAACTACATCGAGACCGAGAACGAGAACATCACGTACGAGATGAACGCGTGCGGAGGGAACAACACGTGGCAGATACTCGACGTGGACATACCCGAGTGGACGTCCCCCGTTTCCAAGCACATCGCCAATCTGAAACCTTACACGATGTACGCGGTCTACGTGAAAACGTTCAACTCGAGGACCACGAATTTCTTCGTGAACCCGAACGAGGTCGGCCAGTCGAGGATCATCTTCTTCAGAACGAAGAGCACCATCCCCTCCCCCCCGATGAACGTGATCTCCACCCCGTTGAGCGACACCGAGATCCTGGTCAAGTGGGAGAGCCCGTTGTTCCCGAACGGGCCGATAGGCTACTACATGCTATCCGCCACCATGATCCGCGAGGACGAGAGCTTGATCTCGTCCAGGGATTACTGCAACGACACGTTGGAGAACGACCTCGACTCGGAGGAGGCTGCCCCCGTTACGGTGCCCGAGGTTACGGTGAAGACGCCTTCGAGGGGCGCGGCGTGTTGCTCCAAGAGCCCTGGCCGGAGCGTGGTCACCTCGAAGAAATTCGAGATATTCTGCCACGAGAACACCACGATCAGCTACATATCGCCCGGTTGGAAGGATTATTGCGTGTACAACAACTACAACGCGGTGGACAACCGGTTCTACGAGTTGGCCAACAACCTGTCCACCCCTCGGCCCGAGGACAACGCGTCGAGATCGAGCAACGTGGTCGTGGTGGACAAGGACGCGGTGACGTACAACGTGAGCGGGCGAAACAACTCGTTCGTGATCAACGATCTGCGCCACTACTCCCGCTACATAGTCACCATAGCCGCGTGCGGCGTCAAGGTGGACGAGTCGAACATGTGCTCGTCGATCCAGTACACGCACGCCAGGACGAGGAAGCGCGGCCGCGCCGACGACGTGAGCAACGTGAGGGTCAGGGTGACCAACAACACCATCGTCGAGGTGTTCTGGGACCTGGTCAAGGATCCCAACGCCCTCACCGTCTCCTACACCATCGAGTACACGAATCTGGACGTGAAGGACGCGAAGAAGAGCACCGAGTGCATCCCCCGGACGAGCCAACCTCGAACGGATACCGTGGCAACAACCACGACAACCACGAGCTATTTGATCAAGAATCTGAGCCCTGGAAAGTACAGCCTTCGAATGAGGTCGACGTCGTTGGCCGGGGACGGCCGTTTCTCCGAGGTCGTGTACTTCTCCATAGATCTGACCGACACCGCGCCGGTCACGTTGGCCGCGTTGCTCGTGCTCTGCGTCCTCGCCATGATATCGGTCGTGTTGTTCGTGGTGTGGAGACACCACAGGAAGAGGAAGAATCAGGAGAGGCTGATCGCTAGCGTTAATCCCGATTACATAGAGACGAAATACGTGATCGACGAGTGGGAGGTGCCCAGGGAGAGCGTCGAGATCTCGAACGAGCTCGGGCTGGGCAATTTCGGCATGGTGTACAGAGGTGTTTACGACAAGAGTATACCGGTCGCGATCAAGACGATCTCGAAGACGGCCAGCCAGAGGGAGAAGAACGAGTTCCTGAACGAGGCGTCGGTGATGAAGAACTTCTCCACGTTTCACATAATCAAATTGATCGGGGTCGTCTCGATCGAGAATCCGCCGTTCGTGATCATGGAGCTGATGGAGAACGGGGATCTGAAGACGTATCTTCGGCGGATACGGGACACCCGCCTCGTCCCGGACACGTGCAGGATCATGAGGATGGCGGCCGAGATAGCGGACGGGATGGCCTATTTGGAGTCGAAGAAATACGTGCACCGGGACCTCGCGGCCCGGAATTGCATGGTTTCCAGGGATCTGGTGTGCAAGATAGGCGACTTCGGGATGGCGAGGGACGTGTACGAGACGGATTACTACAAGATCGGGAGGAAAGGGCTTCTCCCGATCAGGTGGATGGCGCCCGAGAACCTGTCGGACGGCGTGTTCACGTCCGACTCGGACGTTTGGTCGTTCGGCGTCGTACTCTACGAGATACTGACCCTGGCCGAGATCCCGTACCAGGGTTTCTCGAACGAGGAGGTGCTCAGCCACGTGTTGCACAAAGGGACGTTGAACGTGCCCCGCGATTGCCCCGAGAACATTCAAAAGATCATGGAGAAGTGTTTCAAGTGGCGGCCCAGCGATCGGCCCACCTTCATGGAGATCGTGTCCGAGCTCGAGCCGTTCCTCGGCCAAGATTTCTACGAGAAATCGTTCTACCACTCGATGGAGGGCGTGGAGAGCCGCAACTCGGGCCTGAAGAAGCCCTACCACCACGCCGCCCCTATCAGATTCCACTGGGGCAACGAAACGGCCAGGTGGGTCAAGGAGTTCGAGGACAACGTGACGCTGTTGGACCAGACCAAGGCCGGGACAAGCAGGGCGCGCATCTTCAAAAACGGTTTCCAACACTTTGGTAACGTAACCGCCAACATGGAGGACGTGCCTCTCGATCGATGAGCTCGTAAAACTCAATCGGCCTATATATATATATATATATATACGTACCTACATACGTACATACATACGTACATACATACATATATATATATAACGAATTTCGCGCGCGTGTGTTCCTTCGGCGGACAAGAAGCGCTCTCCCCCCTCCCCCCCTCCCTCCTTCCCCCCACGATAAGTCGGATAAGTCGTTCGGATACGACGTACAAAGGATGATGATGATACTCAGGCGGGATGAATCGAAACGAAACGAAACGAGAGGGCGTTTCGATGGACGGGGAGAAGAGACAGGCAAGGATGTTTTTTTTTTTCTTCTTTACTTTTTTTCTCGTTTTTATTTTTCTTTCTTTTGTTCACCTCCTCCTCCTCCTCCTCCCTCTTGTTTTTCTTGCCAACGCGAAGACAGAAGCAACGAAAGGGCAACGAGACTCTTGGTGTGCCGAGTTGATCTTCGATTAGGATCTTGGATGACGATGGAAACGAAGGAAGGGTCTTTCTTTTCCGCGCATGCGCGCTAGCTTCCTCTGTTATAGACAGAACGGAAGCTAAGCGCGCGATAAGTGTCTAAAGCCGATATGGAAGACTATCGTGTCGAACGCGATATTTTTCTTTTCTTCTCCTCTCTCCTAGAAAACGTAACCAGAACAACAACTCCTTCTTTCAACTCCTCCTCGATCGTGCGACACTTTTGTTCATTCCTTAAAGAAAAGAAAAAGATTCGTTTCGTTTTTTTTTTTTTTTTCTCCGTTTGCGAGTATTTTTCGTTTTTTCTCTTCCTCTTTCGCCCCCTCCTTCTCCTTCTCTTCTCTTTTCTTTTCTCTCTAGATTAGTTAATAATTCTAGAATAGGATCGTAGAAGAATAGGATTAGTTCGTGAATCTAGATTAGATAATGTTTCTAGGGGCACGCGTTTTCGTTGTACTCGTAGCCTTGTACCGCGCAAAGAACTGACCAATATTACGTTATACGTATTAGACGCTAGACGGAGAGAAATTGCATCGGAGCATACGACGAATTCTTTTTCCTTATTTCGATACGCGAACGTCGTACGTTTACGATTACATTGAACTTTGTCGTTTCGAGAGAGAGAGAGGGAGAGAGAGAGAGAGAGAGAGAGAGAGAGAGAGATTCCGACCGACAGAGTTCGATCTTGGAACGAGAAACGGAAATATCGAGTAATAACGATGAATTCGTGTATGTATGCATGCACGCGCGAATATGTGTGTGCGTGTGTGCACGAGTTTCCGCGCGAGAAAGCGGAAGAAGAGGGGCACGCGTCGCGTCGTTACTTCCTTCGTCGAGGAATTCCCGATTTCGGAAAAAAAAAAAAAAGTTGCAAGCTCGTCGGAACGTATTTTTGCTCCATTTATCAAGTCGAACTGTCGACGTGTCTGTCGCCGCATTAACGCATACATATCTACGGACGCTCTATCAAAAGGGAAGGAAAAAAGAAGGGAAGGAAGAAGACGTAGCAATACCGAGAGAATAAGAGAATCCTCCTCCCTTTTCCCGCAATACGTTTCAAGGATTTCGAATTTTTCCGCTCCTTCGGTTCGTTTTTTCTTCCTTTTTTTTTTTTTTTTTAATTTAACCGAACGAACCGTATTATTTTTTCCCTGAAGCGAAGAAAGTGGAAAAAATAAGATGGGAAAAATAAATTGGCCTTCGCGGGGGAAAAATCGCGGTGCAGCAATAATATCCGTCGATTCTATTATTTCACCAAACTTTTCACCAAATGGAAATATAACGGAAGCGTAATCCGAATCCTATTCTTCCCTCTTCCCGTTGGCAAGGATATCCTTGGTTGAACGGCGAGTTTCTTTCTTCCATCTTTATTAGATTATTAGATCCCGTTACCCGTCAACCGTTTTGTCGAAAACGTTGTTTATATTATATTACATCGCCTCGGCGAGAGAAAGAAATTTATCGTTTTGGACGCGAGATAATCTCGAACGACGATGTCGTTAACTTTTTTTCCTCTCCCCCCACCTACGATTCGAACGAACGTTAATTGGACGGCGAAAAATAGAGAACGCGACGCGTGTAATTTCTCGCTTTTCTTTCTCCATAAAGGGAGAGAGAAGAAAAACGAGAAGGAGAAGAGGAACGAGAGATTCGAACGAGAGAACACATACATCTTATCTTTACTCGGATTATCGCGTAAATATTCGATGTAAAACGGTAAACGAAAGAAACATTCCGTTCAACCGAACGTAAAAATCCCCTTCCTCGCTCGATCCTTCCTTCCTTCCTTCTCCCCAACTTTTTCTAAATCCTCTCCCCTCCCTCCACTAAACACTTCCAATTCATCCTGTAATTCCAACGTGTTCCATCAAGAAGAACGATCGAAAGAGGGAACAGAGAGAGGGGGGAAAAAGAGAAAGAGAGAGAGAGAGAGAGAGAGAGAGCAGCTGCCACC